CAGCTAATGAATCGTATGGCGTTAAATCACTCTCCAGTAACTCGGAAAGAGCATACACTTCTTCACTGACACTAGGACAACCTGGCTGATGCATGTCTGCCTCATTTTGGCATCCCTCGAAGGCTTTTACCCACCTTGCCACTGTTCTGTAAGGCAATGCAGCTTCCCCGCAAGCCTCTTGAAGCTCTTGATGACGCTGTTGTTCTGTATGGCCTCTGGTTCATTCAATCTTTATCCAACTCCGTTGTTCCTCTTTCTAAAACATCGTGACAACACTACATTAGACCGCCAGCTAACACGAGGATCTGTTCTTCTCGTCACTGTGCATGCGCGAGATGTGGGAAGGGAGAGTCCATTTGCTCTGAGGTACGGTAGATATGTAACTAATGTGTGGTATAAGCGATATTATTTGGTCCCGTTGCATGGCGTCTTTACAGCAGTGTTGCCACTATTAAAGTTCCAACACTCGTATGAAAATTAGAATACACAAAAGTATAATTTTGCCTGTGGTTCTGTATGGGTGTGAAACTTGATCTCAGATATTAAGGGCAGAACATAGACTGAGGATGTATGAGAACAGGGTGTTGAGAATATTTGGACCACAGAGAGAGGAAGTGACGGGAGGTTGGAGAAAACTGCATGATGAGGAGCTTCATAACTTGTACTCTTTCTCAAGTATAATTAGAATGATCGAGTCAAGAAGGTTTAGATGGGCAGGGCATGTAGCACGAATGGGAGAGAAGAGGATTGCATATATGATATTGGTAGGAAAGCCAGAAGGAAGGAGAACTGGGAAGACCAAGGTGTAGGTGGGCAGACAATATTAAAATGGATCTTAGAGAGATAGGATGGGATGGTATGGATTGGATTGATCTGGCTCAGGATAGGGACCAATGGAGGGCTCTTGTGAACACGGTAATAAACCTTCAGTTTCCATAAAATGCTAGGAAGTTCTTGAGTAATTGCACAATTGGCGGTTTCTCAAGAAGGACTCCGTTCCATGGGTGAGTGAGTGAGTGAGTGAGTGAGTGAGTGAGTGAGTTGAAGAGTTCTAGCTTATGGGATATAATATGCAGTCTCCTGAACGTTTATTAATGTTTTGGAGGAGCAGGTTTCCTCCATCTTCAAGGTCGAAGAGTAAGCCAAGAAAAAGACCAGTATGAAGCAGGAAGCAAGCAGAGCCCTGGTGCTTCACACAGACTCACCAACACTTTTACAGAGGTGTAATATATTCTTGAAACTTTGTACAGGATCTCAACCAACTTTAGCTTCCTGAACCATGTAGAAAGGGAAGGGGGGAGACCATAGTGTTACTCAAATAGCTGCACATGCTTTGCTCCCACCTCCCCTTGCTCACTCTGGTCTGCCTCCTCAAGGGCTGCTCAACCTGAGTAGCTTCTAGATATGGTGCCAGTCTGTCCAAGTGCACTGTGGGATGACACTGGATCCTGTAGACTAAATCGGTCTTCTGGGTGACCATCTTGTAAGAATGCTTCCAGAATCACAGCTTTGCTAACTTCCATCTGGTCCAGGTTAGGCAGTAGAATCAGGCCTGACCTACTTCTGGAATGTGACAGATTAGGTTAGGCATTCATATCAGCCCACCATCCCGTCACTGGCCATCTTTGGATGTTGAGATGCATAATGATAGCTGTCATGCAGATGACTCATGAGGTTCACCCCGTAGGTGGTCGTAGGTTGCTCCTAACAGCAGGTCTCAGGACAGATGTATTCAGTTATTCAGTATAGAGGGGGTGGGTTTCCCCATGCACCGCGACTAATAGTCTATTGTACGTCTCCCTTTAATTTCTACTGTCGCCATAGCCTACTGATACTGGTGCCCACTATCTCCCCTTTCTGCCAGCAAGATCGGCCCTCTACTGGCAGTGGTACCCGATAACTTTCCCAATCTACCGGGCGCACTGGAAACTACTTGGGTGGGTAACATTTTGCCTGATTTTGCTTAGAGGTCTCCTAGAGACATGAGGATCTTTTACGTGCCGTAAATCTACGACTGGGTATCTGTTGTGTTGTCTGCTTCATATACCGGGCTGTAATGCTAACCTGCACGTCCTTGTTGAAATGTTAAATTAGAAATTTGCTAAACTGCACAGATTTGTTAAATTCTGAAGTCATCTTACTAAAAAAAAAAGGTTTTATTATTTCTGTAAATGTTCATTTATTTCGGGTTATGAAATTGGAGAGTGGCCGAAGGACTTTACAGAAGTTACAGTGATTGCCTTAAAGAAAAAGACAAAAGCTACAAAATGCAGCAACCATCGCACAACAAGCCTTATTGCACATACAGCAAAAATAATAGCAAAGATACTTAAAAGAAGAATTGAAAGGAAAATAGAGGATATACTTTGAGAAGATCAGTTTGGATTTAGAAGAGGAAAAGGAACCAGGAATGCAATTGGGATGATGAGAATTATAGCAGAACAAACTTTGGAGATAGATGAAGAACTGTGTGTTTGCTTCATAGACTGGCAGAAGGCATTTGACCGGGTAAACTGGACCAAATTAATGCAAATCCTGAAAGAAACAGGTATCGATTGGCGTGAAAGAAGATTGATTAGCAAATTATACATGGATCAGAAAGTTAGAGTACGACTGGACAGAGGAGAGACAGGAAGTGTGCAGATTGGAAGAGGAGTTCGACAGTGATGCTATTTATCACCAATTCTGTTCAACTTGTACAGCGAATGCCTTACCAAGGAAGCTCTGGATGGGCTCGGAGACTTCAAAGTAGGAGGGCAAATTATTCAAACTGTGAAATATGCAGATGACCTTGTGTTAATGGCTAAGGAAGAAACTGTGCTACAGGGCATGATTGATAGACTAATTGAAATTGGAAGGTGCTATGGCATGGAAATGAATGTGGAGAAAACAAAAGTAATGAAAATTTCGAGACAACCAACCCCAGTCACAATAAAGATAGA